GGTATGTGCATGTGTATAGTGTAGGTATGTGCATGTATATACTGTGGGTGTGTGTATGTAAGAGCCCCAGAGGCATCCGATTCTCCTGGAGCTGGAGCTGGAGCTACAAGAGGTTGGGAACCACCTGACGGAAGTGCTGAGACCCAAACTCAGGTCCTGTGTAAGAGAAGTGTTCTGAGCCATGTTGTTGAGACAAGGTCTCACAGTGTAACTTAGGCTGGCTGGAACTTACTATGTAGCCCAAGATGGCCTCGAACTTGTAGCAATCCTCCTGTCAGCCTCCTCCTAAATGCTGAGATTGCAAGCGTGAGCTATTAGACCCAGCTTTCACGGTTAATGTACACCCAGGAACTCCTTGGTTTCGAGGACAGGCATTAGCAGATGGTGATGCCTGGAGACTAGAGAAGCAGCTTCTCACCTTCCAGAGGATAGGCATTAGCAAATGGTGATGCCCTGGCATCACCACAAACCTGCTATCCAAAACAAATATGTAGAAATGCACACACCTGTACACACAAGCCCACCTGCATAGACCTGTGCTCGCAGACAGCAAGTAGCAAGCAAGTAGCCACACGTATAGAAGTTGTGCATGCATATACACATGTGAGTTAAAACACACACATATACACATGGGGGTTAGGAGGTGGGGGGGGGGGAGAGAGAGAGAGAGAGAGAGAGAGAGAAAGCAGTTCCACAAGAACATCTCTAAAACACTCCACAGGTTTCTTGGAAGACATTTGCTGTATATCACTCCTAGTAACTTGACTCCTAGCCAGCGGGTGAGTCTAGAAGTCACTCCCACAGAAACAGGGCTTAGCCACTAAGGAGAGGCAAGAAGGCCCTTGTTGTACTGTGACTTCATCTCTCTGGCATGGTCAATGTCAAGGTCACATGCAGAGCTAGGCATAGTGAAACTTGCCTGTAATTCCAGCTACAGGGAGGCAGAGGCAAGAGGCAAGTTCAAGGGTATCCCAGCTACAAATGAAGACCTCGGGTCCGAAGAACAACATAGCAGGAGCTACACAAACCTTCACAAATTGACTCATAAAAAAACACCATACATGTGACCTGAAGTAAGTTTCCATTCGAGGACTTTAGAGTGCTTGGACATCAGTGTTCTCAGTATCTATAGAAGGACCCAGACATGATAGTGTGTACCCAGCATCCCAGTACTCCAGAAGCAGAGGAAGGAGGCTGGCCCAAAGGTCTAGGGCCTTGGCTACATAATGAGTTCCAAGTCAGGGATTCATAATGAGGGCTCATCTATTTTTGTCTGCTTTTTTGAGACTGGGTCTTACTGTGTAACCCTGGTTGGCTTCGTACAGGCTATGTGAACCAGGTTGGCCTTGAGCTCACAAAGATCTGCTTGCCTTTGCCTCCCAGGAGCTGAGATTACTGTGTCACTATGAGTAGTCTGAAACCTTGTTGGAAAGATGGCTCAGCAGTTGTGGGTGTTCTTCCACAGACCAGGCTTAGATCCCCAGCACCTACATGGCGATACTACTTGTAACTCCAGGGATCCAGCGCCTTCTTCTGGCCTCTGTAGGCATTTCATGCACATGGTGTACAATACATGGAGCCAAAACACCATACATATAAAAATATTTTATAAAAGTGCCTTTAACCCCTGAGCCATCTCTCCAGCCACCTATCATATGTTATGTTTATATTACATTATATATTTTGAGGCAGAGTCTCTTGATGAACCCCCTGGAGCTTGCCAGGTGGACTAGACTGACTTTTCAGAGTTCCCAGTACTGAGGTTACAGGCTTGCACTGTCTAATAACAGTCTGTTAACTCCAGTCCCAGAGGACCCGACAACCTCTTCTGACCAGCAAGGGCACTGCACATGTGGTACACAGACATGCATGTAGATGAAATACTCATACACATAAACCAGAGGAAAGAAAACACTAACAAAAAAAAAAAAAAACCCTAAGTATTAAGTAAGAGACTAGGCCAGACAGACTGGTGCTTAGAGTTCCTCCTTTTTGGAATCGGTCCCCATGGGATCTGCAGGGAATACCTTTTGCCAGCTCATACAAGAAGGCTAGTATCTAATGTTCTCAATTCTATTATGCCACATGGGCACACCCTTTCGACCACAGGGCAATGTCTATATACATAAGACTCTAAGTCTGCATTTCCTGAGCTGCTCCTACCAAAGTTCAGCCAGGTGACGTGAGTCCCCAAGTGACAACTAACCCTTGAGATGCCTCCCAGTTCCTCCAGCATTTGTTTGATAGCTTGCACTCCCAATCTTGCCTTGACTTTTAACTCCTTTCTGAGATGTGAAGACTGCTATATACAAACACATAAAACTAGACCTCCAAATCAGTGAACTTTTTCTCTGACATACACAGATTCAATATAAGAAGTTCAGACTCAGCAAGGACCATTAATAATCTCTATCAGCAGGGCCCCATCTCAACTCCAAGCTAGGTAAGTTACACATATACAGGAATAGAGATTGGGAAAGCTAGTACAGGACGAACCACAGCCACCTAATCCTGACACATCACCTGCTTGGACTTATATACATAGACACTGCCCTGTGATCTAAAGTATGTGTCCACGTGGCAGACATTAGCCCACGACTCCAGAACATTGAATATTATCTTAATTGCACTGCTTATCTCCAGGTTTCTGAAAGTTCAGGTCTCACTAGTAAAATACCAAAGGTCTGTGATTTTAAAACTTGCTATGCCAATATTTTTGATATTCCGCTGTTCAATAGGCGTGTCTAATTTATAACCGGAAAACCTGTATTTTAAACAGTTTGCTGGTTGACTTATTGAAATTTTAGAGCTGGTTCCTAGGGGTCGGGGTGTAAGTAATGCAAGTTCTTAGAGTCGGATTTATAAGCCCCAGCTAGACCGTTAAGCGCACAAGCTAGCGGCCACAAGAGGAGGCAGGCAAGTATATAAATGAGGAAGGAAAAATGTGGTGGATTTTCCTCATTAGTAGGTAGAAGAGTTTGGGTGCAGGCCTCAACTATTTCTGAGACCAAAACCTTCTAGGACACAGCCTGATCCAGAACTCGCCTACTCTGCCTACTCTCGAGTGTCCGTAGAGTGCTCACAAACTGCCCAGCATCGGCTGGCGATCGCCGTCAGCCCACCTCCTCCTCTTGCGCATCCATGCTTCTCTAAGAGCTCAGTCCATTCCTCTCTCCTCCTCCTTGAATCTCCATTCCTCACCGCCTAGCGCACCGGGTCCCCCATTCATCCCTCCTCCGCCCCGCACCTCGCTGTCCATCCCCAACCGGTTCATGGGGCCTTCACGACAGTTCCCTGGACAGCAGTGCGGGTTGCTTACCCGGGCGCGGCAGGCCCGTGGCCCTCACACCGCAGAGCAGCCACTTCAGCGATTCAGCCCCGCGCGGGGACGTGGACCGCAGTGAAACCCAGTTAGCTCAGCTCACTGGTGCGCGCTGGGCCCCACCCGGACCTCCCCGGAAAGACGTCACGAAGGCGGGACCAATAGGCTGTCACTGCCTCGCGCGGCCGAGCGCAATGGGCGTGGTTTGTATGGGCCACGCCTGCTTTGGGAGCTGGCTTCCAACTTGGTCCTGTCTTGGCCGCGCGGAGCTATTTGGAGCTGATCTAACGGAAGTGAGAGGTCCAGGGACTTATAGGCTGTGTCTGTGTCTAGGGCTTTTCCCAGAAGCCGGGGAGAGAAAGGGTCAGGCTAGGTGAGCGCAGATGTACTCGGACGACGGCCCGTTTGAACCGGGCAGTTCTCAAAGGCCTCGTGAGGTACTTTATGGGGCTCTTCTGGCCCGGTTCCTGAGCTTTCCTCCCCATCGGCTATTCAATTCCTTAAGGCGGCCCAGCCTGTCCCTGCTCGCAGGCATGGCTTGGCTACTGAGATTTGCTTTGCACGCATTGCACTTGCCAGTTTTGGCTAAGCGTTTCACCTGAAGGACAATACACTGATTTAATTTCGCAAGAGGACCTTCGCTTCTATTTTTCAAGTTCAGAAACAGTCGCACAAAGGACTTTGGAATTTTACACGTGGCATGACAGTAGGACGAAATGGAAAGCCTGTGAGACTTGCTTTTAATTTAAAATAGATTGGGGTTGGAGAGATGGCTCAGCAGTTAAGAGCACTGATGCTCTTTCAGACGACCCCCGCCCCGTTCGATTTCCAGCATTCACACAGTGGCTCACTGCATAGATTCAGTTGTCCTGGAACTCACAGAGATCTACCTGCCTCCTGACTTCCTGTGCTAGGATTAAAGTCGTGAGGCACTGCATCCAGCATACAAAATTTTTAAAGAAAGAATTTAACATAAAGTAAATTTTGCAAGTCAGTAAATGAATTCTGTTACTGAATACCAATTTGTGTAAGACCCTTTTAGAATCGTCTCCCACCCCAATCCAAAGTGATCATTGCCAGTTTTGTTTTGTTTTCAGAAAAGGTTTCACAGTCTAGCCCTGGCTGTTTGGGGGCTTGCTATGTAAATCATCCTGGCTTTGAACTCACAGAAATCCTCCAGTTTCTGTTTCTCTGCTGGGATTAAAACCATGTGCCACTATGCCTGGCCCATTTCGAGTTTTATAACCTGTCTTGGGTCCTGGGCTCAGAAACCAATGGACCCTGCTCTGAGGACTATAAGCCTTGCTGTATGGTTACCAACACACCTGCAGTTCGACCTGCTTTATGCAGTGTGGAATCTGCCTATCAATGTGTGAGTTTGCTGAAACCACCTGAGGGAGGGCGCTAGAAGACAAACTCCTTTTGCTTTGTGTTTGTTTTAATCTCCCAAGGAGTTCCGGAAGAAGAAATACAATATCAATGCTCAGTGAAAATACTCCCGAATCATCGATTGTGTGTAGTTCTGTGCACACCCTCCTCAGATGTCAAAGTCTCTTGAGTTCAACTCAAATGTCAAGGTTCTCTTTTCTCTCCTCAGAAAAACAAAGATAACAGGGTGTGGTGGTGCATGACACTGAGCTCAGCACTCAAGGGGCAGAGGCAGGAGGATTTCTGTGAGTTCCAGGCCAAGGCTACATAGTGACACCTTTCTTAAGAAAGAAAATAAACAGGCAAGTGGGGGTGGAGGGAACTGGAGAGATGGCTCAGTGGTTAAGAGCACCAGCTGCTCTTCCAGAGGGGCTCACAACTATTTACAATGGGTTCCGATGCCCTCTTCTGGCATGCAGGTGTACATGCAGATAGAGCACTCATATGCATAAAATAAATAAATAAATCTTAAAAAAAAAACCAAACAACAACAAAAAAAAAAACAGAAAGAAACAAAGCCAAGATGTTTTGAAAAATTGGAAGCAATGTGCTTGTTCACAAGGTCTTCATGAACTCTACTCTGGATTTTCTAGGCAAGCAATGAGATAAAAATGATAGATGTGTAAATTTTTTTCTTTTCTTTTTTTTTTTTTTGTGACAAGGTCTTGCTATATAACTTTAGGTGGCCCAGAACTCACTGTGAAGACTAGGCCAGACTGGAAATCAGACATTCACCCAACTCTACCTCATGAGTACTGGGATTAAAGACATACACTACTATAACTGGCCAAGAATATAATTTTAAAAGTAAATTTTCATTATTTATAAAATATGTGATCAATTTTTATTTTATTATAATTATTCATTATTTTATTATTTTACTTTTGGAGACAGGGTTTCTCTGTTTAGCTCTGGATGTCCTGAAACTTGCTTTGTAGACTAAGCTGGAAGAAGTCAGAGATTTGCCTACATCTGCCTCCCAAGTGCCACCAGTGCCCGCCCAATTTTTATTCTTTAATATTAAAACTTAGATTGTGTATAAGTGTTTACCTACATGTCTATGTATACCACTTACATGCAATACCCATGAAGTGTCTTTTCCTGCAGTTACAGATGGTTGTGAACCGCACCATGTGGGTGCTGGGAATCAAACCCAGGTCCTCTGCAAGATCAGCAAGTGCCCTGACCATTGCACATTCTCTTCAGCCTCCTTTTCATTTTTATTTTTTGTTTGTTTTTTTGTTATTGTTGTCGTTTTGAAACAGGTTCTCTTTGTAGCCCTGGTTGTCCTGGAGGTAGCTCTGTAGAGCAGTCTGGCCTCAGACTCACACTCATTTTCTTTTAAAAATAATACTTCAGGGCTTTAATCCCAGAACTCAGCACTAGGGGGGCAGAGGTCAGTAGATTTCTTGAGTTCAAGGCCAGCCTTGTCTACAGAGTGAGTCCCAGGACAGTCAGGGCTATGCAGTGAGACTGTCTCAAAACAAAATTATCTAGAAGTATAGGGAGCTAGTGTAGTCCTGAGTGAATTGTATTGCTGACATGGCTTGGCCATATTATAGACCCCAGTGCCTCAGCCCATGTGAGCAGCAAAGCCTTACCTGAGGGATTACGAACATAGACAATGTGTGAAAAAAAATGTCCCCCGTAGTCCCGCAACCCTAAGACTGTTCCTGCTGAGATTAGGTAAACTGTCTCCTTGTTCATCAGCTCTGTATAATAAACACCCCGAGCTTCCTGGGTGCTGCCCAGAGAATCTAGCTCATCCAGTCTCAGCTTCCCCTGTATCTGTGGCTGTCACTCCTTCATCCCTCAGTGCCACTAGTCAAGGTTCCAGGACCCAAGCTGTTGCCAGGATGAGGCAAAGAAGTAAATGCTATGGCCAGGTATGTGGTACAGGTGTGTCATCTCAGATGCTTAGGAGGCTGGAGCTGGAGGATTGCAAGTTCAAGGCCTGCCTGGACTCCAGAAGTAGTTCAAAGCTAATCTTGACAATACAACAAGACCCTGCCACAAAATGTAAAAGGCAAAACAAGGGCAGGGGAAATAGCTCAGTGATCAAGTGCTTGTGTTAGTCAGTGTGTTCCAGCCTCATCATTACAGACATGTGCGGGTTGGCAAGAGAGATGGCCCCTTGGTTAAGAGCCTCTACTGACCTTGCAGAGGAATCAGGACCTAACACCAGAGTTCATTGCCTACCACCCACACTGCTGCCCACAACTTTTCTGTAACAATGACAAGGTACTCAGGGTGTTCGCTGCCCTCTTCTGGCCTCTATGGGCACCTGTATGCATTAGCTCTTACGTATAGATATACTCATTAAAAACATAAAAACAGGAAAACAGGCTGTGAACTCTTAGATTAGAGGAACCCAAAGCGAAGTAGGCACTAACTCCATGGGCTCAGAGTTCTACACTGGAGGAGGTTGGCCTATGTGGAAACTAGCCCGATCCCAAGTCTGTATCAAGTTCCTAGTATTGTACTAAGGTTGCCATTGACAATGGTTCTGTAGTTACGTAAAATGCTAACATATGGGGGAATGTGGATTAATATAAGAGGGAGCGGGAACTGGATAGTAATTTTGTAAAACTTCTGTTAGTCAAAATTATCTCAAAATAGAAAAAAAAAAGCACAGGGAATAATAGTCATTTTGCTGGGCACAGTGTTGTCCTGATATGTGGGAGTCTGAGTCAGGTGGATCTTTGTAAGTTCAAGACCAGGCTGGTCTACATAGTGAGTTCAAGGTCACCTAGGGCTGCATAGTGATACACTGTTTCAATTTAAAAAAAAATAAACGAAGTCAATTTCACCATGGGCAAGTCTCGTCGTGCAAGATTGATTTGGATTCAATCCCCCGAATCCATATGGTAGAAGGAGAGAACTGACCCCATATCCTCTAACCGCCACATATAACACCATGGCACAAGTGTGGACAGAAGACAGGGGCATACAACAAGAGGCAAGTTCAGATGTAGCTCAAGGATACCCTCCAGCAACCTACTTCCTCCCACCTTCTATTTCATGCTTCCCAGTTTTATCAGGTCATGAAGCCATTTAGGAATCAATCCCATCGATTAGATCCAAGTCCTTAAGACCTGATGGTCTCTGGAGACTCTGTAATGGATTCTCATGGTTTGGTAGTTTGAATGAGAATGGTCCTCTGATGGGGACTGGTTCTAATGCTTTGAATTAATCTGGTCCCCAAAAATCGGGAATCTGCATATCCAAATGTTGAAGGTCTTTGCCCCCAGTTGGTCTTTGATTGATCAATAAAGAGCCAATGGCCAATGGCTGGGCAGGTAGACTGAGGCAGGACCTTTGGATTTGTGAGGGCTAGGAACTGGAACAGAGAAAAAGAATCACCATGACTCAGGGGAGAAGGATGGGATGTAAGAGCTGCAAGAGAGAAAGCAAACCAGCCATGTAAGAATTTGAGTAATCGGCCACTGGCCACTGACCACTTCCCTGATTGGGCCTGGGGTAACAGGGGAAGGTTTAGGAGTCTCAGGTCTACCAGAGGGGAGTGTTTGCTAGCAGGGGAAGGTTTAGGGGTACCCGGCCTTTGAGCTAGTCACAGCATGTCAAAAATTAACTGGCTAGCACGTGCGTGTGTGCATGCATGTGTGCATGTTTTTCATTTGCGAAGCCAGATTGGTCCTGGATGTGTGTGCGTGC